TGATAAGAGTTTGAACCTCAAGCATGTTATGGACGTGGTGGTGAAATGCGTGAACAGAATTCGAGCCAGGGCGTTAAACCGGCGCGAATTCCGAGAGTTCCTCGAAGACCTGGAAGAGGAGTACGGTGAACTCCTACTCCACTGTGAAGTCAGATGGCTGTCGAAGGGCAAAGTTCTCTCCCGCTTTTGGTTACTCAAGAACAGCGTGCTGCAGTTTTTGGAAGAAAAGGGCGAGTTACCAGCGGAACGAGAACTTTTGCTTGACAGTGAGTGGCTCAATGACTTAGCTTTTCTGACCGATATTACCGGTCACTTGAACACTTTGAATCTGAAACTGCAGGGGAGTAACAAACTTTTCACAAATCTTGCCAATGACGTTGCCTCTTTCAAACTGAAGCTGAAGCTTTTGGTGTCTCAGATGGCTCAGAGAAAGCTGGAGAACCTCGAACACTTAAAAGAGAGGGAGACAGAAACCGGAGTCGACACGGACAAGTACAAGAAGATACTGGAGACCCTGCAAGAGATATTTCAGTCCCGATTTCAAGACATCGAAGCAAAAGAAGACAAAGTGACGCTATTTACAAACCCGTTTATCTTCTCTGACGGGAAGATAGAGTTGATGGAAGAGAAGTTGCAGCTAGAAATCATAGACCTTAAGTGCAACTCCGTGCTCAAGAGCGGGTTCAACGAAATGCCTGGCGTCCCAACTGCAGAACAAATGATATCTTTTTGGAAAATACTGCCACCGAATGATTTTCCGAACTTACGTGATTTTGCTCAGCGATACATCTGCCGCTTTGGGAGTACCTACCGATGTGAACAAGCATTCTCGGCGATGAAAATTATCAAGAGCAAACACCGTTCGCGCCTTACGGACATGAACCTAGCTGGCCTGATGCGACTGGCCACAACTTACCTGCAACCAGACATCGACAAATTGGCGTCGGACATGCAAGTGCAGAAGTCACATTAAAACAGATAGGCTTGAGCTGCAATAAATACCCACGAGTTTCCATAAAATATTCTCCTACAGTATTAGCGACTGCATGTGGCCCGCGATGACTGTGGGAGTGGGCTATGTGGCCCCCGAGCTGAAAAGGTTGGGCACCACTGCTCTAGAGTATTTCAAGCAAAGCCGATAAGAAGTGCTGATGATTTCTTTAAGACATTGCTCTTTAATCAAAATATCCTCAATATTGAGGAAACGTTGAGGCAACGTCAAAAAGTTGAAAACTCGATGTTTAAAATGTGATTCTATTAACATGTTTTTCAAAAGTCGAACTGGGTCTCATTTCGTTCGCAACATGAAAAGCAAATTTTTGCTGTACCAACCAGGAATCAGGTCAACAGGCGAATCAACTAAGAACGCGTTTCAACCTGCGTGAATCACGCCTGTAATCACCTGTAATTCCTCCACATTCTTGGTGTCCACAATTGCGGGCATTTCGGTTTTAATATTATTAAACAATCGTTGGAGAGGAAAACCCAGATTTCGATAAGTGTAGAGATAGGAAGGAAAGCAGACTTGACACTGCCAATGAATTCCAAGAGACTCTTCAAAGTAGTGCAGCCGATATTAAAAGAGACCCCTTTCCGCTGAGAAATGCTCAGAACTGCAGAAAATACGTGAACGGTTTAGAAGATCCCCTCCAGAACAACAGCCGCTAAGCGCCGCTCCTTTCCAAACTCATTAACTGAGCACGTCGCGTGGTTTTCTGGGTAGAAACGTTTACTATTATCGATTACTGTGTGGAGGCCACTGTTTCTTGGACTATGGTGGGATTCGGAATTCTATGCCTTGGAAAATAGCAATAACAATAAGAATAATTGTTTATGTATTTAAAAAATAGGAAACAAATACGTTATCGAAAGTGTCCTCTTGCCTGAATTTGTATCAAGGAAGAGGGTAAGATGTACCACTTGTAGTTCTTGACTTTTTTTGTCAGCACCCTCTCCATCTGAAAAAAAAAGAAGATGGCTGGACTCGTGGTTGCAACACGGTTGGGTTGTGCTCCCTGCCCTCACGGTGACACTGCCCGACCAGTAAAAAACTTTATCCCAGCGCTAATAACTCTAACTCCAGCACTGTCTTGCATATCAACTAATAAATATGTAAGCCTCCGTGCAACTGTCCCCTTGGCTCGGTTTTCTACATTCGGATCCTGGGTTCGGCTGGAGTGCCCCAGATCTCCGTGGTTAAATCCCTTACTGTTGCATTAGTATGTGCGTCCATATGCTTGCTCTGCATGTCCGTTTGGGATTAAGCCTGACAAGGCCCAAGCGGGGATAATCTGGTTTCTCCGTGGAGGCCAATTCCCTTGACGAAAATTAACCATTACTCGATAAAGAGGGAGAATACCTGAGACAGAGAGACGAGCAGACAGATGTTATCAGACTTCTTATGACTAACTTGTACGGACGATCGTGACTGACTGACTCTAATCCTAACCATATTCTAGATAGGATAGAAACCGGAAAATTGGAACACGAATAGCTGTTAGGGTGCTGATTTCAGCGCAAATCCTACTTTGAGGTACATTCCCTGGATGCGTTTCCTCGGGGGGCGCGATTTTCCAGTAAAAATTTTCATTTCAGCAAGATAAAATAAAATGCATGTGACATTTTCCTTACGAAATATCCGCATAAGTGGACCAGCAGGAGTCCACCAGGAGGATTTGGTTGAATCCACATGCGGATCACACGAGGATCCATATAGAGCCCACATGGGCATATTCTTATATCCGCATTAGCTCCCATGTGGACTAGTCCCTGGTAGAACAGTCCACAATAAGTCCGCACTACTCCACATGGGTATCTGATCGATCCACATGGGGATCACCCGAAGGATTTCGATAGTCCCCCGGTGGATGGCAGGGGGATTTCTCGCAAGGGATAGACAAGTAGTTCTACTTAGGGCAAAATCCTACCTAGGGGGTACACCCCTGTGGGCACATTCTCTTGAGAAGATGTTTTCCATCAAATTTCTTCGTTCCAACGAATCAAGCAGCTATGGAAAGCGGAAATTTGGTAAAAGGTTAGTTTTATTATTGTCCATTTCAGAGAAAATCATACGATTGGGGTACGCCACCAATTTGGCCCCTTTTTTTGGCGGGAAGAGGGAAGAGAGGGGGGGGGGAAGGGGTAACCCCAAAAGTTCTCGCTTGAGCAAAGCGGTCGTTACATTTGTTATACAAGGTGCTAATTGAAGGAAAACTACCAAAAGGGGATATTTGGGGGAATTTTGGGAAATTAGGATTCTCCCTTTGCTCAAAGTTGCTAATATGAAGTTGACAATGACGTCACATAACTGGAAGTAATTTTATCCAAAGAAAAATGCCTAAAACCCATTGTGTTCTATCATTTTAGAAGGTGCGAATTTTGAAAGCGTATGAATTAATCATTCTTACATCGTCGAGCTCCGAAGGCGCGACCATTGAGAGTGTTTGCCAAAGGCAAACGAACTCGCCAGTATCTCATATGCTTGTCCCAGGCATGCCGCGCAAATATGACACCTTCACCCGATCTTTTGGTAGCTTTCCTCTCAAATGATATGAGGGAAGAGCTGTAACATTAAGAGGAACACGAATGAGACAATCGAAATGATGAATATAGGATTTTTGGGAATTAATCCTTTCAATAATGCATTCACACCAATTTTAGCTCTACGGTGCATAGTTTGCATGGTATTGCCGTTTGAACTCGCCAAGAAACTCTGTATTTATCCTGTGCAATCACTAGTTCACTGAAGATACCGCCATGTAGATAGATATGGGCAAGACTCAGATTCACGCACAAAATACGTAATTTTAATGCACATTTTTAGTTTTACTGTACAAAATAGTAAGATTTAATTTTCCACTGACGAGGAAAGACATCTGCAATCAATAGCTCCATAGCTGACCATTGTCGAAAAAAAAAACCGAGGCTGCATATGGGCACTGGGGACATGGTCGCCAGCTAAACTCATGGAATGCCAGATCTAAAACTCCTACTCGTCGTTCTTTCCTCCATCTCTCAACCTCTAAGTACCTAACTCATCCTTCAACTCCCAACACTCCTCGAGTGAAGGCCCGCTAATGGACTGGGCTTTGCCCAGCTTGCTTTCTTCCTGAGGGGAATGGACGTTCGTCGACGGATGGCCACTTCCCTGCCGCAGGGAGGTGACGTCTAAAAAGCGGACGCGGATTCGTGATGGCGAAGGAGTGGGCCGGAAAATGAAAGTTCGTTAAATAAATATGCGCATTGCAACGAACTTCATAGATTGACAGCAATGAAAATTTGAGCGCAAACTGTCTACAGGCTCGTCCACGACCAGAAAAGTTTTATTGCCTAGACAATAAAAGAACATTGCCAAATAAACATTTCTGAAAGAAAACTTTCGAAGAAATCGTCAAGAACATCAACAATCTTGCTTATGAAACTTTCGAAGGGGTCCTCACTGTGAAAGTTTTCTTTGCAAGTTCACTTTCAAAGAGAAATCGCAAATAAAACTTTCCTGGTGTGGACGAGCCTTAAGAATGTGTCTTCAACTACGTGTCACACCATGGCTTATCGAAGGAAATTCGTCGGCATTGAAGGTCAATGGGAGTCTGGATGAGATAAACAACACGTAATCCCAGCCACTATTGTTGAGCCCATCAGTCTCCCCTCACAAGGATCTATAAATATGCTGAGTGGTTCGTAGGTCGGACTAAGGGACTAAGGACTAAGGGTCAATGGATATTCTTACGTCTATGGCTTTGTTGTGTCAATATCACATCATTCTAGGCGCCCAAAGAAGGAAATATAGACGGAAGTGAGTTCAAGGCTCATGGCCATACTTTTATATTATTGATACTTTTCCCTCTCTCCTGCTATGAGCAGCATTACCCACTTTGTAATAAAGCAAACATCGTTACAGTAAACGCAAGAGGAGAAAGCATAAATTATTTGGGGAGAAGGGGAAAACTAGCGGGTGTCGATGGATCATGCGCACGTGATGACCCGCACCTACACGGAGCATGCTCACCTTCTGGAGCGAAGTTCCCTGGCTCCGCTCCCCGTCCTATCAGCACATGCAGAAAGTCCATCGAGCAGATGGTGGCTCTGACGATGTTCTTCCTTTCTTCCTTCCCTGCCTCTCACCTAAACCTCAGTTCCTTCTCAACCACCAGCGAATGAGGTTAGTGCCCGCGTATGCCTTTGTGTGTACATGCCTTTGGCAGGTGTTTACCGAGCGAGAGAGGGCTTTCCAACGTTTTATTGATTGCTCCCTCTTCGGAGGATGTCTCTTTCGACTGGGACCTGCATCCCTCTCAGGATGCGTCTGGTTTCTCCTTTTTATTTTCTCCATGTGCTATTCAGTATGATTATGCTGCAGACTTCTCTCTTTGCTTTTCTGCCTTCGCGTCGCTCTTTTGATATCTCTCCTGTCATGTGCACCTTTCTTGCAGGAAGAAGCTCTCTGTGGTTCTGACGCTATACAATGTGTAAGCTGTTCTCCAATACTGTATAATGCTATACATCATGTAGCATTCCCGCCTGATTCCTCTTTCCTTCTAGAGTATACCTTTTAAGCGTGCAGGCGAAGTGTGCCCAATATGCGCCCTTTTGCGAACTTAAGCCTCAGGAGCGAATACGCCAAGTAGAACTATCACAATCGGCTTCCCTGGTTTCCTAACGATACATGCCACAATACCCAAGGCGACAATCACGAGAATAATCATTGGTATCATTTTAAAATGCTTTTCATTTTCATCTCGGTAGACCCCAATTGGGAAGAGTGTTTTAACTCGACCCGCTAAATGATCTTAATGTGCCGAATCCCATTTCCCCTCACAAAAGACTGTTTCTGCCGCTGTGCTCGTCTTTTCAAGCATCGCATTTATTCCGGGTGGGAGGCCAAGTTAGGGGAAGGCATGCCATTCCTCATCGCTCATGGAGATGTCTCCACGGAGACGGAGATGTGATGGATATGGAGAATGAGCCGCGATTCCGCAAGCCTCTCATTCTCGCACAGCTACAAGAGCTACGCGAAGATCTTTTCTCTGCCTTCCATGGCACCTGCTTTGATATTGTTTGACTTCTGGGGGGAAAGTTTCAACGATTAAAACCACCTTACAGGGCCAGGGATGTGCATATTGGGAATACCTGCCAGCTCTTTTTATTTCGGCTACGGTAGAACAACCTTGCTTGCAATATTTTTCTGGAACTGTGGATGAGCTGACTGCACCCAGATCATATAAACATGGATAATAAGAACTTCAGAACAATGGCTTATACCGTGTGAGAAGTAGCGGGTAAAATAGGAGCACAAAGCATCAAAACAAAACAAAAAAAGCAGTCATAAGAGAAACGTGACAGAACGGAGCGTTGTGAGTCGTGGTGACTGAACAAATTTGCTTCCATGTGATTGCGAGTCACATCACGCGGTGCATTTAAGAGTATGGGCATATAAGGCACATCTCCCCTTCTGGCAACCATTGGGCAGGTAGTCTGATTATGGTCTGTTCAAAATATAATTACCTTCTTGAATCGCGATCTTTCAATGATGTTGAGGGGCGGAATTCTGGTACACTAAGTAGAATATATGCACCTTGATACTAATCTGCCCTTCGATGACAGAAGACAGCAAGTGCGTACGGACTGTAGACTGTGCAAACTAAGAAGGTATTAAGTCTAGCAGGAGAAAAAGAAGAAGCTTGGTTTGACTTTTTCATTTGTTACTGTTTCTTTCTCAAAGAGGAAAGAAAAAATCTCCCAGACTCTCCCTCATCTGCAAAGAGAGGCTGACATAGATGGCGTGGGACATGAAATTGACAGGTTGCATTTTTCTTATTACGTGGGTCCACATCACGCGGGGCCAAAAGCGGAATACCATTCCTTTCATTACTTCTACTACGTCGTGCACAAGGAACGTTGACAGGCAAGGAAAACGTGCTCCGCCCTGCACTTCTTTTTTTATTTAATACAGAATACCATCCCATCAAGTTTGCGGGAACTTCTTACTCTGAAGGAAGCTTTATTTTCTGTATTTGCTCTGGTGCAGGCGGCAATTTATGGGGACTCGAAGGGCCTCCCAAAGATTTCGTGATGGGGACTGGATATCCTTTTTTTTTGGTTCGTCTCACAGCCTTGAAACATTGCACTTATTCCATCTTATAGTGCGTCATGTGGAAATGGGATGTAAATTAGGACGTTATTCGGAGCCCAACCCACCATGACGGGGTTCTCAAAGGCAAATTATTTCACACTTCGCTTGCGACTCTTACATTCGGAGACCCGTAAGATCAAAGACAGAAGTTTGATCCACCCATGGTTGGATGAGCGCAACATGCGCTCACTGAGCACTACGTGATCCAACTTGGGCCTGCGAAAAGAGTCTGGTAGATTAGGCAATTTTGATGAATAGTAGAACCGTAAAATCAATTCGAGAATTCATGAACAGGTCATCTTGCCAAACGGTGCTCGATCTCTGTGTGTTACAATCTGCACTTTTTACTTTAAAAATGCATTCCTGAGTGCAATGCGAGGTAGAATGCCGAGTTGCATAATAGAATACTAGGAGGAATGCATCAATCATTGGCCATGTTCTCCTCTAATGTTATTAAAAAGCGTGGGATCTTATTCAGAAGGATTGCACACTGGGCCAGATGGATGCTAGGCTTCTTAGAAAGGGAGCGAGAGGGAGCTCTGAGAGCCCCTTAAAGGAGCTGTCTCTGAGTCCTTTCCCAGCTTCTCTAGGATGGAGTTTTCTCATAAGCTACACTTGTTAATCCATCCCGTAATCCCCTGATGTTAAAGCACGACTGAATTCAAGTGCTACCATTTGTCATTGGAATATTTGTATCTCTGAGAATTCTATCTGATCCTACCTGATAATCCTAGTCATCTTGATCCCCATCTGATAATCTAGCATGCATTCTGATTTCAGACAGCAGACGCCTGCTATCTTAAGGGCATATTCCGCATGCGAGCATCAAGGGCTGAGAGTAATGAGCTAACCGCCCTTTACCATTAGGCAAAATATTATTGTGGAGGCCAACCTCCTTGTGGAGGCCAACCTCGTTAGTACGATTTTGAAGAGAGAAAAAGGAAGATGAGGATAAAACTTGATGCCAATTAATATATTATTGCTTAATGGGTTTATTAGAGCACCTCTGGGTGATGCATTAGATAAAGCCACCGTTCCTCAGCTCCCTATAAGGAGCTTCCTCCCTTTTTTTAAATACCTTCTTAGTACCTTCCACTTGAAGGTGGTTTACTACCTCAGAATACGTTGGCTCAGTTTTTGATGCCTCCTACAATATGACTGATACACAAATCCTGCACAATTCACATTTCGTGAAAGACAAGGGAAATTTTCGATTTTTCTCTTTTCTTTTCTATAGACACTAATGAGGGCTTCTATCCATCGTGGGACAATGTTACAATTTTGCGACTGATTCGGAAGTTGGGGAGTCAGATACTGAGGAAGCCCTGTGACGTATTGTATGGGTGTGTTCCAGAAATAGGGCTCCACGTTTGGTGGCACGTGGTCACTCGGTGCGATATTTCACCAGGATTTACTTTAATAAAAATTGAAGAGTAGCATGTCTTTTCCCGGTAATTGTGTGATTCTGTACTGAATATGGCTTACACCGCTTCAAGCGATCAAACGTGGAGCGTTATCTGGGGCACAGTATAATTTATTGTCAATATGAAATTTTACAAGGGGCCATAATGGCTATAATGCTATTTGGTTACCATTACCTTTTGTGGAAACTAAACCATCAGGAAATAAACCCTTGACTTCTGCAACTGATTTGACGGAAAATAATTTTCTCATAGTGGAAGAGATCACAGACGTAATGAATTGGTAGCACCTAGAAGCACACGCTTCAAAATAAATGACTTCCTTTTATCTCCAGGATGTGATGGTCACTCAGATTCTCCGGATCATTCGAATATAAATAATTGCATCACGATAGTGACGGTCCTCGACTCCGAGTTGGTCCCATGGGGCATAGCGTCACTGTGGAGAACTTGTTGTGCGATAATCTGTGATTGTGGTCCATCATCGACTTTTCCAGCGCCGATCAATGTGTGTGTGTGTGTTTTTTTTAAATTACCTATTCTCTCATATTCTTCTTCCACTGGTCGGTCCTCAAACATCTGCTCGTAGTTTCTTTCGTCCTCCAAACACACTGTCGATGTACAAGAAAGACCTGATGAGAAATATAGGCTGTCCATGAAGGTATGGCAAAAAAATAAACTACCTGTACATTTTTTTGGCAGTCTTTTGTCAGAAATATTCGTGTTAGTCCTCCACGTGTCCATCGTGTCTCGTTGACGATACAATTCCCAGTGGCACGAGAGTGCCGCCCACGTGTTCCCTTAACATTTCCTGCGTAAGGTTGGTGAATGCTTCCTGAATGCGGTTCCTTAAGTCTGTCACATCACATGGTCTCTCGGAATACACTTTTTCCTTGATATAACTCAGACAAAGAAGTCCATTGGTGTGAGATGGGGAGAGATCGCAGGCCAAGGAATTGGGCCAGGGAATTGATATTGACATTCTCTGATATAACCCCGGAAGAAGTCCATAGGTGTGAGATCGGGAAAGATCGCTGACCACAGAATTGGGTCAAGGAAATTGGATCAGGGACATGGCCCTCTTGTCCACACCACTACAGGTAGTAGAGACGAGGAGGCCCAATCAAAGAAAAGCCGTGTGTCGGGAGACAGTGATGTGGCAGACCTAAGAAACCGCGTACGGGAAGCATTTAGGCTGATGCAGCAGTGAATCACCGTTGACTTGCTGAGGGGTTGACCATTTATACCGTCCCCATTCTTCATAAGGTCGGATTTCATCGCTGATTATTTCTCCTAACAAGAACTTCGGATGAGGCATTCGATACTCCAACTTCAAGTAACAGGTATGAACGGATCCCGAGCTGAATGCTTGAGAGTGATCATTATTTTACGCAGTCACAATGCAAGATGCAAGGAATAGAATTTCTCATTCCAGCCTACTCGTCTCTTCGTCTACCGAAGACTTTTGATGCTAATTGAGACTTTGATATATGCTTCAGGCATGTATTCCATGGTATAGGGTGAAAGTAAAAGAAGAAACATAATTGAATGGCAAATATTCTCCCGCCGCTTCAGAAATCCTGTGGCAACCTTAAGCCTGAATGCTGAAACTCCTTTAGTTAGCGGTCCTTTAAGAATGCATGTATTCCCATGGGAAGAAAAGAGGTCTTTGGCTTAAAGGGCCCTTTATCTCCTCTAAATGAGATCCGTGCATTAGGACCTTAGGCTTTCTGAAGGGTTAAAATGATGCAGAAAGGCAGGCCTACGCGAACTCTATGAACCTGCCTCTTTTTTTTTCAATTCACATCACGAATTTCCGATAAGCGACGTGACGATTTTCGTAATTTTTTCCCTCACAGAATTCGACTAGATTGGTTTCTATCCCATCTTCACAGCCCCTCGGTTCTGAGTAAGATTCAGAACTTCCACTTCAAGGGATACGAACCGAAGGCTCAGCCATTTTCGTTTCCATACGCATCTTCCTTCTCTGCCTCTTATCTTTAAAGAGTTTCGTTTCTCTGTTGCGCACTCCCGATCGCTTTGGCATCAGCATGTAACGAAACGTGAGCACCTATTGCCTCAATCGATGTAGTGATGCTCAGCAAGTTCAGAAAGTTTGAAACTATCTCTTCCCTTAAGGCGTTCAGTGTAGATGTTGGACCTCGACCATGCAAATCGAGGTGTATATGATTTACAATTAGGGAGAGAGATCCATGGACACAGTCTTCCTCCCTCCCCTCCTCCGAGAAAGCATACAAATGGGATTAGGCGCAGCAACAATATTTGACCCAATTAAAAATGGTCGGGATGATTAATATGAGGATGGAACATGACTTTCATGTCTCACGCGATAGACTCGGGTTATGTCTGACATTTCGTGTTCCCCTGCTGATCTATTCGTAAACAACTCGTCCATTCCCGACGTCATCCTTTCTCAATCAATCTCTTTCTCTCTTAAAATAGATGTCCAAGTACCAAATGAGTCAATGTCGCATGTCATAGAAGATTCTGATGGCGGGTCCAGTGATGGGTCGAAGCCGAGAGGACGATTCTTCGGAGTCAGGAATTACATCCATCAATTCTATGAAGGTCTTTCTTCGTCAAAGGTGAGATGACAGTTCAATTTCTACGGTTTTAAAATTTGTCTGAGGCACCTAAGGTGCCTTCTTATTTTCAGGCTACCTTCAGGTTCTTCTTCTCATATAGGGCTACAGCTATAGAATAGGACGCTGACAAATGATGTGAGAGTATAGCATCATTAGAAGGTATTATAATATAGTCGTCACCATCTAACACGAGGGTGTTGATTTAAAACGTGGCCAAGCCTTGCTCTGATGTGGGTTCCCCTCGGGATCAGTGGAGCTCCTTATTTTCTATTGATTTTTGCGGGGGTAGACCAGCTTTCCTCCCGCCCTCTCTTTTCGCTATCTTCCCCTCTCTCTTTCTCTCTCTCTCTCTTCCCCTCTCTCTTTCTTGCTCTTACTTTCTCAGCTGGCTCGCTAGTGGTGATGGTCACCCGTACAGAACATTTTCTATTGTATTGTTTGACCAACGGTAACTCTCATGGATTTCTGAAAGAGTGACGCATTTCCATCGAAATGTATTTCTGGAATTACTATCTCGTTTGACTCCTATCGTATCCATTCTCGAACTTCCCACGTTTCCAGTGAATATGAATGAAAGGAATGCTATTTCTCCTTAGAAAAATCATTTGTAGCGATCCCTTCTTCCTCTGGCAGAGCAGGGAAAAATACAAGTGATTGAGTATTTAAATGCAAAATACAAATGTCCATGGACATATTGTAAATAAAAATTGTAAATACAGCCCAATAATATTTAAAATACAAAACATGTATTTTAAAATACAATTGAAAATACAAAATATAAAAAATTTCAAGTTTACATCGTGCCTTTCAGATTTTGTCCTAAATCAGGAACCCCTCAGAAGTTCTAACAATTGGCCTTCACAGCACATAGCCTGAGCATGGCATTCTTTCTGAATCCCAGTCTGTTCAATACTGAATACTGAAGAACTTCCCATCCAATAAAGAAGGCAAGCCTTCTGAGGTAGCCATGTTTGAAGTTAGACTGAACCAATAAAAAAGTATTTTATATTTTGTCAAATGTATTTCAAAATACATTTTTTCCGAGAATCGTGTTTAAAATATAAAATACAAATACATATTATATGCATTTGAACACAAAATACAAAATACCTGAAATGTATTAAAATACTTATTTTAAATACAATTGTTTTAAATATTGCCCACCTCTGCCTTCTGGTTACGTCAGTCAATAATGTGTCAAGCTGGAAGGAATGGAACGTAGATGGATAAGTGCTCCTGAATTATAAATGCCCCTTTCTCTATTACAGGGACGCTCGTTGGATAGAGAATAAAATTCAAGCACCTCAAAATCATGTTCACCCTGTGATCCTTGGCCTTTTCCTACTCTATCTCGGGCTTTTTGAGAATACCTTCATGCATGACCTGTAATGCATACCTTGATGCATGCAGTTGAATTCTAGGCCTCCATAAATTCCCATTTCCCAGCGACTCTCAATTTAAGTCGCATGCAAATTTCTCCGCAGCTAAAATATTTTATTTGTGCCGCCGACAAATAGTAAAAATGATAGCTAAGAAGGGAGGTGATTTCGAATATCCTCCTTCTGATAATCCTCCATGTTGTCAGAGTGCTGATATGGTGCCGGATTTCTCGCGGAGATCCGGCCATTCTATTTTTATCTCCGATAATGCTTCTGCAACAAGCAAGAGAACAAAAGAAATGACTTAGGGGATGCAATGTTGTCGACCATTAATAATCCGGCGCTTCATTGTGACAGGACGTCTTTGAAATGCAACAGTGTCGCTTCTTCCATCATCTCAATTCCATTTTCCCCAGGAGTATTCACTTCCATTTTTCCACGATTAGGGCTTCCCATTTCGTAGATTTCAAAGAGAAGAAAGGCTCCATCGAGATTTTTTTCTGTTTTGAAATGGATTTATCGACAGAAATGCGTCATTCCTCAGCCTTTTCCACATGAGACACTTTATTAGTCTTCTCTTGATTCCTTGAACCGAATACGGCCGTCATTGACGTCATTCGTTCCTCCGAATCTCTGTCGTGACTTGAATGAGAGGGCGTTGGGCAAAAGCCAGAAGCTACCCAACTGGCTTCATCATACATTATGAATGGGAGCCGGATGTGCATAATGTGGATGAAAGGGCCCGGCAAGAGCGAAAACTTATTTCAATATCTGGCCGCCAGGGGTTTCTTCAACGAATCGTGGGTATTAGGGTTTTAGCTGGGTGAAGTCGGCAGGATTTATCTATCGCAGTTCGAAGGCACTAATGACATCGGCTCCAAACCTTAACTCAATACTAAGAGCTTAATCGGAAAGGAATTAGAATGCTTTGAATCGTTACCGGATTATGCTGGGAACAGGAAGAGGAGAGGAGCGCCTTGATCAAGTCCCGGCATTTGCGACGTCGGCGTTGCCGGTCATTCACATTCAAGGTGCTGCTTGGGGTCGGGAGCATTTGCCTCGTCCTTGGCCTCATCCTTCTGCTTCTCGGACACCTCATCGTACCCAGAGAGGTTCTTTTAACCAAATACAACATGGATATAGTCGATCACGCTGCCGAGCGCTTCAATCAGAATCTGGAGATCTGCAAGAAGGTCAGTTTTCGCATATCTGTGCATGACGATGCAAGTGCCAATCGGTGAAAGAACGAGTCTGAGTAGGGGGTAAGAGATGAAAAGAAGGCAGGGGTTCCCAAGCTCTGTCGGCAAAATGAGCCCTTATGATGAACAAAAAAAATCCTGTCTTTTGTGTCCTCGAGAAAGGCTCAATGCGTCATGAGCTCGAGAACCCCTCCCCTTCCTCACTCCTTGAGCTGCTATCGGACTGGTTCTTTCACGGATTTTCAGCTGTAACTCGTATCACATTTGGTCCCTCGGACATCCTTGTCTGTATAGGCATGCAGTCCATTGAGGGTTTGCAGCCCACGTCAGGAAGGTAAAAGAAGCAACATAGAAAGGCTAATAAATTTTTTATTCCTCGTGCATCCATTCTCGTTCAAAATGAAATGTAGACTCCCTTTATTTGATCGAGAATTAGTCTTTTTTGCTTTGCTTCCTCACTCTCAAGATGTACCTAGCCTTCGCAGTAAACCATTGGCTATACTAAATAAAATATTGTCTCTTTCCCACCAGACAGGGCTGGTGTTTTTTTGCTGTGGTGGACTTGCTCTCGTCGTGACGCTTCTATGCCCAAGCTTCCTTCGAAATGAGGATTCCGTTCAATTCGACCCGTTCGTGATTCAAATTGGGGATTGCACGGATGAGGAGGATGTAAAATCCCCTATCGAGAAGATACCTGTCACTCAGGAAGTGACCCCTATTCAGCCACATTCGGATCTCCCTTGATCTCTCTCACCCCACACAATTTTGCTCACACTGGGCAGCCCTCATACTGTATATTTGTAATACAGTTACATGTCGTCATGTTGGAGATTTGGTTGTCTTCTACCAACGATGTCATTCCGTTACACTGAGTTATTTTAACTAATGTACCACAGTTTGAACGTGATTTTGTTGATATATCAGCATCTGCCATTTGACTTCCGCCAAGAATGCAAACTGAAGCATATTTGATACTTCAAGCTTCGAAATTTTGGCCAGAACACAATGAGGCATTTCTGCCCACATTGACACTTCTGGTCTCGGTCTCGCACTCATCTTCTTCCCTCCTCCCAATTCTTAATGAGGCCAACCCCTCTAAAGACAAATGTTTTTGGTGGGAGAGTCTCTGTCACTTCCTCAATTACTTACAGCTACGTGTTGCAAGTAAGTGAGCAATATACGAACAATATGCAGCTCGTATATATACTCCTCCTTTTTCCCCTTGTCTGCGAAGGCATTTAACTTCTTAAAGCTATCCAAGGATAGGGACAGCCACTACATCACCGCCTAACCCAGTCAAGAAGAGAAGATTGCCAGTGTTTTCTTCTTTTTTTAAGGAGAAAGGGACAAAAGGCAGGCGCAATCAGTCCGCCTACTCTCCTGCCCTTCCCCTTTGAACTTTCAGGTAGAGGAAGACTTGCAGAACGAATTCGATTGATGTACCTTGAATCTCTCTTCCTCCTGTTCAAAATAAAAAATGACTAGCACCTCATGCTGGAAATTAGCGGATCTCAGAAGATGTAAATTCTGAAAATTTGCAGGACGGTATGAATATCCTGCAGTCAAATACAACATGAGGCTGTCCTGATATTATGATCCAAAAAGGTTTTTTGTGAGTCGGTGTTACAGATGTTTCATTGTTGACAGTATGTTTGACTCGTTGCAATTTATGTGCACCTTCTACTGCCACTCACCAGGATGTGAAAAGTGGTATCGATGTTTCGCGCATTTTTTTGTCAGAACTTTATGCTCTCCCGTGCAGCTGTCATGCATGCAAGATGAGGCCGGGGAAGGAATAGAGAGTTGTCGATACTTGCATCAGGATGATGTGACACCGTATTTTCTTCAGGCGAATGTTCTGCCTTGTTTGAGCTATTCGAGATCTATGATATATGTGTGCCTCCAACTATCCATTTGTCTTTTTCCTGTTGGACTCACCTGATGGTATTTTCTTGTCTTGTTTCCAATAAATCGTTGTTGTTCTTCAATCTGATATTGATATAGGATTACTGTCTTCTTCTCTTGGAATCCTTGCACCGACTAATATCAACAATATGAGTTTCTCAAAGTGATTCAGCTTTCGTCTTCCTAGAACCTACCCGTAAACAAGGAGTGGGTGCATTTCTTTCCTGGAATCTCGTAGCATCAGGAAATTAAATCCAACCCAGTGCTCGATGTCAGCCCAGTGTCGGGTTCGGAAATGTGATAAGGGGAGGGGCGGGAAATGTTCCTAGATAACAAGTTGTAATCAAAGATATGATGGGTTCGACAACCTGAAATGCATAAGACAAATGATTCGAATCACATAATTTTGCTATTCCCATGAATACCGAACGACATGGAGGGAAATAGACAGTTAGGGGGCACAGCATTCATTTCTTTTTAAGTAGGGAGGATTGGGGCCTCCCCCCTTCCCCAGATGTCCGATTTCGCAATAGCTTCGGCATCTATGCTTAAACCATACAACATGGTGACGGGGAAAAAACTTTTCCCATTAATCTTTTTTTACATTAATAATAGCTACTATTGAACGATGAAACTTTTATGAGGCATAGAAACTCTGACTTGCTTCTTAAAACATTCAATGGCTCTCCACTTATGCTCAACCATTGCTCATAATCGATCTCGCTACTGTCCAATTACGCGTAATTCTGCGCTGCTACGTTCTATGGGAAACGAGCTCTCGACATTTTCTGCTTCAAGTGTTCCAGGTTACGAATTTTCTGACGATGCACCTTTCAGACATAATACGCGAAACTCAGGCATATACTGTACAGTATATGGGTTCATTGATGTTTCAAACGAGGAAAGTCCGATGTCCGTCCACAGACCCAAGATGTCAGATCACGATTTCTTCGAAAAGGTAAATTCCGGGTGGTGGAGCTGGGCGTAGGGTTGGGGTGTCTACAAGGCCTCAATCCGCCCCCTTGCCGATTTCTTGCTACGCCACTGGTGCTCTCCCTGTCACTCCCTGTTACAACGAAATAGCGGCTACGTAGGCGCAGAGGCGGATACAGAAAATTTTCAAAATTTATGTGGAGGCGGTTCCCTACTTCCTACCGATCCCCCTCCCCGGCCTTCCACCACTCCCAGCTCTATCGCCTTTTTCATTTCTCGTTTGGGGTAAAAACATGAATATCTGTTTCACTGGCCCCAATAAAAATTAATGTTGAAGCTACTTCTACGAAAGCGGGGAAAAAAAATGGTAACCTGGGCATGGGGGGGGGGGGGGGGCGGTCGCCCCCCCCCCCCCCTGTATCCGCCCCTGCGTAGGGGCCATATCGCATCATTTATAAGAAGCTTTTTTGTTCAAATAACTGAGATAGATGTTTCGCCCAGATGTAGGGCCTACCTGCAGGGTCGGCCCTAGCTATTTCGACGCCCTGTGCAAAGAGACTCCCAACCGCTCCCAACGTTACCCATGCCCCCCTCAAGAGGGAGAGGGGTCAATCTCCTGCATTCAAAAAGACGCTGAAGCGGAAGGCATTTCCACTTTCTGAAGTAATGCAGAGGGTGGCATCCATCATTGTTTCATTCATTCTGGCACGTTTTTGCGCCGTGTGCGGGAACAGATGTGGCACATACCTAAGGCCGGCCCTGCCTACATGAGCAACCCACTGCGATGTGGGTCCACGCTTCCCACTCGCAGCCAACATGGGCCCAACGTGGTGTGCTGCAAAGGGAGAACGGACCGAGTCGCAATCTAGCCCGGAGGGACTGAAGAGGGCTTGATATCCAAAAGTTTATACGCGAGAAATGAGAATTGATCAGAGGAGAATGAAAGTTGGGATCTCTTTCCTGTTAGGTCCCAAGTAACACAAGATATTCCAGCAACGTTTAGGAAATGTTGATGAACAATGTTGCATCTATGTGTAAATGTCCAAAACGTCAACGTTGCTCAAATGTTGCGAAGGAACATTGCATTTACGTTGCAAATCGCTACTTATTCATTACATATACGTTGCAGATACGTTTCAGGATTTATGTTGCTGCAATGTTGATTAAAAACGTTGCT